TTTGGTTGTAACTTGGTATGTACCTAGACCGGGATGTTTTAAAGATGAAAATTGAAGTGACGTCATTATGACGTCATCATGCGTCATGTGACGTCTAATCATAGGTGCGTTATTTTTGGACTATATCTAAAGAAATATTTGTCCGATTTGGTTGCAACTTGGTACGTAGCTAGACCGGAATGTGTTATAGATGAAAATTGAGGTGGCGTCGTGATGACGTCATCACAAGTCATGCGACGTCACATTGAAGATGCATAATTCGAAGACCCATGAGAGTGTAATCATGCAACCTCATCCCCAGGGTGTCGAGCAGTACGTACCCACCACTATCTGCCGAGGGCGGATCCAGAACACAATTTTTGGGGGGGGGGGGGGCCCCCCAAAAAATGTTTGGTCCCCAAACAAGTGGGTCCCAACAATTTTTGGATTCTAGATGCTCTGTGGTGCGATCTGAGGCAATTTCTGACCACTTTAACCATTTTTTTTATGGAAAAGATGGTGGTGTACGTAGTGCCTGCCTTCATTGCGACGTCACTTAAAAAAAAAAAATAATTGGTTTCGTTTTTTGGGGAGGCCATGGCCCTCCCCCCCCTTCCTCCCCCTCCCCCCCCCCCCTTCCCCCTCCCCCCCCCCCCCCCCCCCCCCCCGATCCGCCCTTGCTACCTGCTCTCTCACCCTGGTATTGGATCATTTGCATGTGCAAAATTTTTGAACACATATGCAAATGAGGAATAGTCTGGTGCCTGCCTGTGCATTACATTAACGTTTGTTTTTGTATGCGGTGTTTGGGGTAAAAACAATCAATTCATCGCGCCGTGAGTTACGAAAACACGATTGTTTTGGAATTTAAAATGTTACAATCTTATCCTGCCAATATGCAGTATCACATTTCATATTAGTATGAGAAAATTGGAAAGGAAAGGAGTATTTTTGAGAAGGCGTGGATGTTATAATTACAATGATTGTGAAAACACGTACACGTTGGAAATAACAACACCAAGTACATGATATATAGCCAACTGCAGTATCGAATCAGGATACAGAAAGAAAGTTTCCGATCCAGGGCTTACTATTGGAAACGAGGTTGGTAATAAAGTAAGTACTGGGGACGAGGTTGGTAATCATGTATATATATGACACTACCTTCAATTACACACATCCCGATATGTATAGAACTACATGTCATTCCTGGATGGAACTTTAGTTGTAACTACTGCTGCCGCCGAACCAAACTAAAAATAGCCGAACATGGCCTCCCGAACCATACTGAACTGAACCGAACCAAAAAGGTTGGTCTACGTCACTCAACTTACGTATAGAGAGCAATCTACTTATGCATATTCCCAATGCCGGCAGGTATTTACGCTAAGAGTTTGTACAATAGCGTCCTCTTGTGTCCTACCACTAATGCCCTGCGGCATGTATGCCTCGTGAGCGTCAATTTTCTCTTTGCGGCTGGTCAGGTAGGACGTGCATAAAATATGCTCTGTATTTCTCATCAATTTTCTGCTACCCTTATCGCTTACATGTAAGAGAAGATTTTGATTAAAGAAAAGATCAGTAGAGTTATAGTATCGTCTTGTGTGATTATTTCATAGTAATGAAGCTTTTGGAGAGAACTGGCCATGTCACAACCGGGGAATTCCTCTCCCACGGGACGGACCGAGTTCTCGGGGGACTCTGCCGTTAACACTTCGTCGTTACCGCGGCAGCAGTCTCCTGTCCAGCATCCCCAGCCTTTGCCAGCTGCGGGGGCTGGCAGTTTCTGTTGGCCGATTAGGGGACCATTGGTCGCCATCTCCGGTCAGCCTAAGCGGAACAGCTAAACGAAAGGGGCACTCTGGCAAGGTTCCCTCAAAACTTGTGCCGGGGCTAACCTAAACAGGGTCGACAGGGTAAACGTAGCTGGAGTCCGGGCTTCACTACACCCTCCGTCCCATCCCCGAACTCTGGGCAGCCCGAGGGGACTAGCCTTCACGCTTCAGTGGGCTTGGGTCACCCGTGTCCTCCCAGTACAGTGCCGAACACCACTGGGTGCCGGGACGGACTATTGTACAGGCCATCAGACCAGTCATCTTTCGCTCTACCCGTGGAGCTTGAGACGCTGTCGGCCGGCATGACATGAGCGATTCTGAGCGGGCCGCCCGGGGATACCTCGGACCGGCTGGTCCTGTAATTTCTCGCTATGAGGGATTGCCCTTGGCATCAGATTTTTCCCTTGCTCGGGTCCCAGTTCCCAGGCATCATCCGAATTTCTCATCAGATGCTGGCGCTGACAGTTCCTACGTTGGCCAGGTAAGGTACCCCAAACGGTCCCCATCTCTGGCCAACTTAAATGGAATAACCAGACAGAAGTGGCGTTCTGGCAAGATTACTCCAAAGCTTAACTCATGTGCCGGTGCCAAACCTAACACGCGGCAGCAGGGTAAACGTAGCTCAGACACGGGCTTCACTACACCCTCCTTCCCATCTCCGAACACGGGGTAGTCTAAAGAGACTAGCCTCCACGGTTTGATTCACCCGTATCCTCCAGCACAGTGGCGATCGCTAAATGATGCCGGGATGGGTTTTTGTATGGGCTACCGGACTGGTGGACATCGCACGACCGACTCATGGGGCTTGAGGCGCTGTTGGCTGGGTATGACATGATTCATACAGAGCCTCCATCGGTTCAGTGGTGGTTTTGAATCACCAGTGTCCCCCAGACACAGGCTTTACTACACCCTCCGTCACATCCCCGAACACGGGCAGTCTGAAGAGACTAGCCTCCACGGTTCAGTGGGTTTGAAGAGCCTCCACGATTCAGTAGTGATTTTGAATCACCTGTGTCCCGCAGCACAGTGCTGAATGCCACAGGGTGCCGGAACGGATTTTTGTACGGGCTTCCACACTGTACGGCGCTCACCCAACTCATGGGTCTTGAGGTGCTGCCGGTGCGGTATGACATGGGCGATGCAGAGCGGGCCGCTGGGGAACCTCAGGGCAGCTAGCTCTATAGTATCTTGCTCTGAGGAACCGCCCTCGACATCATTTTTTTATCCGTTGCTCGGGGGTCCCGTTGCCCCAGGCGTCACCCAAATTTTCACCGGATGTACCCCGGGGCCACTCTTCGGGAAAGAAGAGTAAGAAGAATTAGACCGGTCATCGATCACGCGCACCGCGCAGACTCAGTTTTTCACCGGCAACAACGGCCCCAACCTGGCCATGGTTTTCCAGACGCCTACCCCATGTTATCCCGGGGGCTGGCGTAGGTAACTTGCCCAACCCATGACGACCTCCCGCCGTCTGACCTGTGGGAGCCTGTCATCGGGACTTTGCGGTGTCATGGGATCTACTTGCGTTAGACCAGTGAGTGCTCGATTCGATCAGCCGCAGTTACGCACTCAATTTCTCGAGCACCCCTGTAGGACATGCTTGTTTGGTCGACGTCAATACCGTCTGACCCAACAAACTGCTGCTCCGTGGAGGGGAGATCAGCTCCCTCGAAGGATGGCAATACCCGTACTTTCCTTGGGGAGACCCGATCGGGGTTAGGATGACCTCCTTGGTATTCAGGAATGAGGCCGGCTTTTGGTGCCCCATCTTAAGCTTAGAGTCCCTGAACAGATTTATGTACTGGTGGGCTGTGGTTCAATACAACACGAACCCCCGTAACGGGGTCCTCAACTCGTTTAGCATGTTAAGGCTACCGCATGGTTGACGACCTTAACATGCAGAGTTTCTGGACCCGCTTGCCCACAATATGTGGAGCAGCGGGGTCTACCCGGGGTTACGCCTCTTGTCACGTGCCCCTGTAATTATACAATAGCATCTAATGTACCTAAACTGGGATGTGTTATAGATGAACATTGAAGTAACATCATGATAACGTCAGCATGTGTCACGAGACGTCACATTATAGGTGCATTTTCTAAGGCTGATATCTACAGAACTATTGGTCTGATTTGGTTGTAACTTGGTATGTACCTACACTGTGATGGGTTATAGAAGAAAATTAAATTTCAAATGCCTATATTTACAGAACTGAATGTCCAATTTGGTTGTAACTTGGTATGTTACTTAGTTGTATTATGTCGCAGAAGCCATTAATTGTATTTGAAATGAGAGCGTTGTACCTTTTTTTAACACCATACCTTGCTTGTGCTAGTTGTTGTGTGGGCCATTTTCGCACTATTCAAGGTCAAAGGCCATAGCCATTAGCCTTGAACAATTCATTTTATTATTCTTTTTCGTCATCGCAACAGCTACGGATTTAGTGAAATGAAAACTCGACGCCATCACAATGGCGATGGATTTGCGGTTAGCATTGAGTTTGCTGGATGCATAATGATGATTGCAGAATGAGACTTTAGTGAAATACCCTGCTGGCCTCCCTCTCTCTCTAGTGGAACGTTTCCTTTATGAATCATTGTGATAATTTACCATGCTCTTCCACCATAATCAAGAGTTTATTATTTGTCCTAATCATTAGAGAACCAAACAATTATCTGCCTATTAATCCTAGCCCAACAGTGACTTAATTTAACCCTCCTTGTCTTCTGCATTTCATAACCCTTCAAATTTGCAAAACCACTTTTCAATTCCTTTGAGGTAATCTTCTGTGGAGTATGGATACACAGTTCTGGGCAAGCAGAGCTTAAGCTTCATGAAGTTCCTGCTTCACTACTTTCCACAGTGCTGTTCATTTTTTGTGCAGTGTCTGTGTGACACAGTTACTTCAAACTTTGTAACCCTTTGCCTGAAATTGACCTGCAGGGATTTAAAGGGTTTTACATATTGCTCTGAATATTGACTTCCCACTAGGAGGGTTAATAGAATCTCTCTTTGCCATACACTTGTGCATAAAACCAATCAAACCATCCAAAACTAGGATTCTCCAGTATGCAAAGTGTGGCGACTCAGTGTTCTATATTGCTGAACCATACAGTTGGCAATTTAATATTAAACACACATTTGTGTTCCATCACATTCTTTTGAGTTTATTCATTTTTTTTGTACAGATAAACTGGAATGGAGATGATACACTGATCTTCATACCAAAGCGGGGTAAGAGTGAGGGCTTTGCAGGTTTTGTGCTGTTGTACACTGATTAGAAGATAATTAAAATTTCACTTTTACTTTAACAATGGAAGAAGTACGTTGAAAATATCATAAATACCTATTGAATTAGAGTAAGAGTAAAGTCTGTCACAAGCCAATGTGGCCCATCAGGTCGGTGTTTTATCTCCAGTTTCCGTGTAGCATGAAATGACTGGGAATATTTCTAATCCCCTGGATGGGATGCTAGTCCATCGCAGGTTACTCCCCAGCTAATGCTGGTACCCATTTATACTCATGGGTGGAGAGAGGCAAGTGGGGATAAAGTGGCTTGCCTAAGGACGCAGCATATGACCAGCAGCTGGATTCCAACCCCTGACCCTCTGATCAAGAGTCACGAATCCTAACCACTAGGCCACACTCCCCACTCTTAAATAGAATACTTTTACAGTTTATAGATTTCAAATTGTGCCATTATGATATTTTACTGTTATTCTTTTAAAAGAGCAAAGTAGAGAAGAGCTGATTCGTATGCGCAAGTTCAGTAGGGAAGTAGTGGACCTCCTTTCCAGTCAGCCTCGCTACCGCATTCTCTTCTCAAAGTTCATCCCAACTTATCACCATCACTTTGGACGTCAGTGTCGAGTTGGTGACTATGGCTTTAATAAACTTCTAGAATTGTTTGAGGCAATGGAGGATGTTATTCAGGTATGTAGACTAAACCTTTTCAACATATTAGTAATAATTTACACAAAAGGTCAATACAATAGATATTGCTGTTAACTATGCGGAATCTTATAGACTCTGTGCATGAACAGCAGATGGTGCTTTGTAACCACTTTCCAGAGTTCCAGTGGGAGGAACGCACCGCATGCGTGCACTGTGAATGTGAACAAACTCATGGCATGATCTACATTCATGTCAGTGTGTTCAAGAGTCCCTCCCATTGGTTTCCGCTAACTCTCCCTTTGTGACCATTTAGGGAGTACTTGTGCACAGAGTCGGTAGACTTTCAACACCCAAAAAGTACCCAGATACAAGTTGTGATGATTAGTATTCAAATAGTAGGAAAACTATCGGACATCCTTTTAGGGGTTTGCACACTTTTAAACATTGAAACTGTTACATACTTTCTTGGCAACTGAGGGTGCTGTTAATGTTGATGTGATGTCATTTAAAACACACACTCAAGTAAATTGCTTTTCTGTTCAAATTGTCAACCCCAAAATTTGTCCAAAGAAAATATTTTCAGATTAAGTTTACACATTTACTTCGTGCATGAAAAAAAATAATACGTCACCACAAAAAAGCAAAAAATCCTAAATTCTGTTAGCTTTTTTATGCTTAGGCCAATGTTTTTTTAGTTTTGCGTATTTTGCCTTATTTACCTTGCCTTAATGAATGTAAAATATATATAAGGTCGATGATTCTTAAAAATAACGGATAATTTAAGCTGTGCACACCACTATGCACAATGCTAGTAACGATGGCCACTGGCCAATACTGGCCATATATCGTGCAGTATCAGCATGCGTGACTGCACTGTGTAGCGGGCAAAGGCTTGCTGATCGCATCGGGGAAAAACAACGAAGGCTTCCTTCCAAAATAGCGATTGTAAGTAGGCAAAGAAACAAATACGGACAGCAGAAAAAGTCGAAGTGTTTTTGACGTAAAAAGGTTGATGAGCAGCATTTTTGTGAAACAACAAATACGGACAGCAGAAATATTACAAGCATTTTTAACATAAAAGGTTGTTAAAGACGAAAAATATGTGAAGACGAAAATAAAATTGATTTTTTTTTTCAACAATATTTAACACTGGTGGACAGTCAGTTTATAAATTACACCCAAAATGTGCAAACATTAGACAATAATTAAAATTAACTTACATTGTAATTCTTTATTTCATCACACAGCCAAAAATTATCTGCAAAATTCAACAAGTCGACATATTTTAAGGTCATAAATGCTGCAAGTCTGCATATTAATACAAATGTATTGTTATTTGTTCATAACTGAATACATAAATTCCTATACAGAAATGGCCAACTGAAACATTCCTCGCATCCCCCCCCCCCCCCAATAAAAAGGACCCACAAATAAAATTAACAAAGAATTGACTAAAGCCCAGTTCATACATCATGCAAATGCAAATTTTCCGGGGGGGGGGGGGGGGATTGAATGGGGGAAAACAATTTTTTTTGTTGTGGAGGAGGAGGGGACGTGTGCCCCTTACCCCCCCCCCCCCCCCCATCCAGTTGTGACAATATTGACAGCACTGAAGAAATTCATGTAAAAGATACTCCTAATTTCCTCGGTGGTGCTGCCAACATTGTCAACACTGGACTTGATTCATCTTGTTGCTGAGCGATCTCTACTGCTGCCACATACTTACTGCGATTGGCAAAAATGAAATTAAACATAGGAACAAGACTAACTAAACATGCATGTGGTTACATTTGAATGAAACTACTTAAAATACACCACCATTGAGAAACTGCATCTGTTTTCAAGCAAATTCCTGAAAGAATGAACCGTTCTCTTTTTAATATTGCAACTGTATCCCAATTTAGGTAACAGTAAAGGCATAGGCCTACCGGTACCTCCAGTTCTTTCGGAGAAACTGACCTCCAAGATGCACATTTTGGAGCCTTATTGTGCCTTAATTGCATGACCTGCTGGAAAGGAGGCCTTGGGAACAGGGGGCTGAATTCATCCATGCTCAATTCAATACCATTTGGAGAGATACCAAGGCCTGCAAGGTGATTTTACTCATCTTTGAGGCCATCGTGAAGAGGCACTGGCTCCAAACAAGTCCTGCGATACATAGTTCAGTCAATTTTCATTACTAAATATTAGTTAGTACATATAGGAATAAAATGTTCAAACTAGAAAACACACAGTAGGCCAAAAAGGTGTGCTGCCGGTTATTAGGCCTAATATTGCCACGCCCTACCTAACCTGTTTTGTTTGTTTTTTGGGGGGAGGGGGGAATGAGGGAAAAAAACACAATGAAAATCATCATAAAGTTTTACACTGTAACAATACACACCTCCATATGATTGTACACGTTCCTTCGGGAATTTCTGATTTAATGGCTCGTTGCCGTGGATCGGAAAATCGATCATGGCCCAAGAATAAACGGCGCCGGGCCCATAAATCCCGCCGCCACCGTTATTCTAGCTCTTCAACGAGCGACAGTGCCAGTACGTCGCCGACTTCTGCCCAGTCATCGGACCACCCACGTCATCGCAAACGCGGGCGGAGAGACAATACATCGGATTTATTGCTGAAAGGTTTTCAGGCTTTGTCGGCTCAGTTGGCGGCGTTGGCGCAACAAACACTCCCAATTCCCCCTCAAGCTGAGACGCCAATAGACCTTCACCTACTCATTCTACAGCTGTAGATACACACGAGGCAACACCTAAGGGTAACCTCGAGTCCCAGCCGGGTCCATCTTCGGTGGATCAGCCGTCCGACGTGGATTCTACCAGGAGTCATCCTTATGAGACTACCGATAATAGATTTCGTGAAGTGATGTGGGATATGGTTCGTATATTAAAGGTTCCCATTCCCGAACAGTCAGAATCTTCACAAGGTACACGGCCTAGTTTTAAGAAACGCACAGGTGTACCAGAGCGGGATTCCCCGAAGTCAACCTTTCCGGAATTCCCAGTGGACAGGTTTTTTTTCTAACCGTCTTAAAACAATAGCTGGTCAGAAAAAATGGCAACCCTTTGCCAAGGCAGCATGTCATCCCTTTCGGGTTCCAAAGCAGGATACTGAAGAATTTTTAACAGTTCCGGTTATCCCAGACAATGCAAAGGACAAGATGGCGGCAGATACAGGGAAACAATCACTTAAAGTTCCCTTTGCCGATCCTGTCCGGAATAAGCTTGAAGAGGCATTACATAAGGTTGATGCAGCATCCCGCATGGGTCTGCAAACGACTTCATTTATGCTTCTTTTGTCAGAATACTTGGTTACTGCATGTGATTCCGTTTCCAGTGTTTCTCCTACAATGGCTGTCAATGCCTTTCAATGTCTGGAGGATGGATTACGCATCATCCTAGACCAATTTGCTAGGGTCTCTGTACTTGCCACGGTCTCCAGACGTTCCATATTGCAATGTTCTAGAAACGATCTTCTTTCCTTCAGAAGGGGCAAGAAAACGCATGGAGGCCCTTCCTTTATGGAGCAAGGATTTGTTTGCGGATCAGTTCCAGACGATGATGGAGGCCGAGGCCAAACGTCTAGAAGCAACAGACCGTATTAATTTACAGGCCCGTCGTAAGAATCACAACCAACAGCTAAGGTCCCGACTACTTCGAATAGGTCCAAAGGTTTTAGAAAACCTTTGCCCTCCTTTCAGACACCCAAGTCTACCCAATCAACCGCTGTGGCTCGATCAACACCAGCAACAACCGCAACAACAACATCGCAGGCAACTTCCGGAAGGAGTTTTTGGCTGGCCAACCTCAAGAGGTCGTGGCACGCGGTTTCCCTCCCGCCAGAATCTTCTCGAGCGGGTCGGGGATGGCGTCGGTGACGCTGGTTCTCCACCCGTGGCCCCCCAGATTGGGCCCGTGGGGGGCCGCTTAAGGCAATTCGGGGAGACTTGGGCCCACTTTTGCACCGATGGGTGGGTGCTTCAGACAGTCACACAGGGATACTGCCTAGAGTTTACAAGCACTCCTCCATCGGTAATGTTCTCACGTCCCACCCCTGTTCCATCAGACAGAGAACAGCGGAGGGCATTGGAGAAAGAAATAGAAACCCTGCTATCAAAACAAGCAATTCAACCGGTTCAAAGCCCAGTAGAAACATCAGGTTTCATGTCAACATTCTCCTACACTTCCACCACACCAAGAAGAAGCAAGGCGAGTGGCGTCCTATTCTGAACCTAAAGCCGTTGAACAGGTTTATTCGTCCACGGCGGTTCCGAATGGAGACCCTGCGCACCGTCTTAAATTCTCTCCCAAACACCATCCTGGGCCGCATCAATAGATCTGCAGGATGCTTATCTTCACGTACCCATTTGCAAGGAACACAGAAAATACCTTCGTTTTCAATACAAAAATACACTTTTCAAGTTCCTCACTCTTCCGTTCGGTCTGTCAACATCACCAAGGGTCTTCACCAGAGTAACAAAGACCCTGGCGACAATACTTTAAAGAGCGAATATAATGATATTCCTCTGCCTGGACGATTGGTAATCGTAGGCAGGTCCACAGAGGAAGTTCGACAGTCCTTAGAAGTAACCGTCGACTTGACGACAAGGTTAGGGTTTCTGATAAACTTGGAAAAATCTCATCTGGTCCCCACCCAGACACCGTCTTTTCTAGGGGCAGAAATCGACCTGGTAACAGGGATCGCTTACTTCCCTTCGAGCGAACGAGTACACAATGTCCAGGAGTGCGCCAACCTGTTCCTGACGGCTCGATCAGCACCAGCGGTGGCCTGGCTACAACTGCTGGGCCTAATGGCCAGTCTGGTCGATCGAGTCCCATGGTGTCGCCGAGGATGCGGCCAATTCAAATACATCTTTTGGCTCATTTTCGACCCAGTCAACATCCTTCGTCAAGGAGCATACCAATACTGAAGCCAATCATCCCCCACATTCATTGGTGGACAATTTGGAGCAACCCTGAGTCAAGGTTTGCCTTTTCCTCCTCCACTTCCCACGATGACTCTTACGACAGATGCATCCAACATGGGATGGGGTGCGCATCTGCAGTCACAGCAAGTGTCAGGTCTTTGGACACCAGACGAACTGGTTTTCCACATCAATGTTCTGGAACTCCTTGCAGTTCGCAGAGCCTTATCTCAGCTCATCAGCCTAGTCAAACAGAAGGTTGTAATGGTGCAATCCGACAAC